TCATGAGAAACATGACATATATAACCAAACCAATTTACTCAGGTGGAACCTGAACAAACATTTGATTAATTAGTAATAATCTCATGTAATGGGGCAGAAAATATGAGTTATGTTTGTAGCCTTGGTCAGGCTTATAAATTTGGTGCAGACAGCTATTCAAAATTACCTAACAGCTCTTAAAACATTAAAAAACAGAGAAAATGCAAAAAATGAATAGATATAAAATGGTCGATGGTTGGTGGTTGGCAAACGGTGGATGGCGGTTGGTAGTTGGCGATTGATGGGTGGCGGTTGGCGTCTGTACCAAATTCTTAAAACTTCCAATAACTTTACAAATATTGTTTAGACTGACTTCATTTTTTTGGCTCACACAGTGAGCCTATGGGATTGTCCAGGCGTCTGTCCGTTGGTCCGTCTGTTGGTCTGTCTGTTGGTCCGTCCGTCCGTCCGTCCGTCTGCCTGTCAACAATTGGCCCGTTTTAAAACCTCTGTCAAAAGGATTCCCGTTTTAAATTATTTTTGTTCCACATCAATATAGAAAACCCCCTTTAATGACTCCTGGTTCAAAAGCTCGCCACCATTTTTGTCTCACGAAATTCACTTTTGGACTATTTGCTTTAAAACCTCTCTTGATAGGATTCCCGTTTTAAGTTATTTTTGTTCAATATCAATGCAAAAAACTTCCCTTTGACTCCTGGTTCAAAAGCTGGCCTATTTTCAATATGGTTGCCATTTTTTTCTCGCAAAATTCAATTTTGGACCATTTGCTAGCTTTATAAATAATTTCAGGTATCCTGCATTGTAAAAAGCCATGTCACTGTAAAGAGTAGTTGTATGAAATAAATTTGTTACAAAAAAATCAGCAAAAAATTTTATGTTTTATTTTTTTATTTTCTGCCATTTTAGCCATCATTCACTTTTGAGCAACACCATGTGAGCCCAGTACCCATGGTACTATTTATACAAAATAAGAGATGTTGGTGTTAATAATTCTACTTTAAGTTTTATCAAAACACATGCACATATTCATTTATTTAATAATTTAAAACAGTTATTCATAATATTTATGAATTCTGGATTGATTCGAACTTGGCTATCTGTGGGGCATCAATTTGTTTAAAGAAACAAGAGCTCTTCACCAGGGGTTGAAAGTACATGTATATTAATATCCCGAGGCTCCGTATATCGCGAGCAATTAACTCTTGTTAGAAGCGGGCCCTTGATATACAAATGTATACAATAAAATTTAAATATAAAATTTAGTATGAAACTGAAACTCAGTAAAACTTTATTTTATATCACAATTTCAGTTGCAGGACAACATCGTTCTTCAACTATAACACATTATATATAGAGATGAATAGAAAGGCTTATAGATCTTTATCCCTCCAATTCTCTTATAAGACCCAGAAATTTTGTGATACTTGTTTCCAGCAGTTGCTTTTTTAGTCCTAATAACATGTAACCATTAAGGAGAATTAAATGGAAAGATTTCACAGAGCCAGGATTATCTTTGTGTGTTTTCAAAGTGTAAGATTTGAAGAACCAGTGGATGGAATTGCCACATTAAGTAATTAGCCCAGTCAAACTAATGAAAAAAATAGCTTAACCCAAAACAAATTGCAATAGAAATCAAATTAGGTTAGTTATTTACATTTATTAACCTTGAGATACATACTAAAAATCTACCAAAATCGAAGTAGTGGAACAATGTTAAAATTTGAATCGAAGATACCCCCTACCCCACCCCTTCAATTTATGAGTATAGGACTAAAAAACATATTTCTTAAAGTTGAGGTCTTATTTTTACATAATTTAGCTTGACCACGATTGGATATTGTTTTTCCTAGATAATAATATTTATTTAACAAAGAAAAAGTTCATTTGTCTTCTTTTTAACCCTTACAAACCCAGAAAAATAGAAAAAATCTCTCAAATTTCGCATATACTAATTTGAATATGTGTTTTGATATTAATGGGACCTTCTAGAAAATGTCCTATAATTTATAACGATGGACCAACATTACACTCATTATTTCTTTGTAATCTTGAAATGATAGGTTTATTGAATTTTGAGAAATAAACTTTTTGATACCGTATGGTAAGGCTACAAGAATGAAGGTCGGAAAATGAAATTTGTACAAATGAGAGGAAAAGGCACAAATAAGGTACCGTTGTAAAACTTATGACCCAACCTTTTCAAATTCACTTGTATCTGAGTCTCAAATTTGTTACCAATAATGTCAAATGCCAGTTTCCATAGCAACCATTTGAATATTGTCAATAGATGTAATACATTATCAGGCAAATTCCGCTCATTATTCGTCGACTCAAATTCATATTTGTATCATAATGAAGCAATAAATATGCAATTAGCTCATATGCAAATTAGCTCATTTGCTCATTTATTAAATTATTATGACATCATATGATGTGTATTTTCTCGTACCTAAAAAGGTAGGAAACTGTTGTCTGCTTGGCGGATGGGTGGTGTTGCATTTTTCTTGAAATCACGATTCCTGGAAAACCACTTAATGGATTCACTTCAAATTTTCACAAATGTTACATGGAAAGAAGTTCTAGAGCTTATTAACTTTTCGGTGGCCATCTTGCATTCTGGCGGCCATCTTGGAAGTTTTTAGATAAATCTTGCCATCACAATTCCCAAGGAATCCCTCAACATATTTATTTCAAATTTTTCACATGTTACATGGTAAGAAGTTCTAGAGCTTATAAACTATTCAGAAGCCATCTTGCATTCTGGTCCCCTTTCAGTGGCCATCTTGTATTGTGGCAGCCATTTTGTACGTTTTTGGATTAATTTTGTCATTGGCATTCCTTGAAAACCACTTCATGGATTAACTTCAAAACTTTACTCATGTTACATGGTAAGATGTTCTGCAGCTGATAAACATTTTGGTTGTCATCTTGCTAATAGGGTAAACAAGCCCACACTGCTATATGTATGAGGTACAATATTGTTAACCCTGTGTTTTGTTCTACATTGTACTCATATATTTAGACACAATGTTGATTGGTATTGTAAAAGTTACTATTGTCAGGCGGTAAACACGATACAAATATATGTCATATTCCGCAACGAATATGGCATATTCACTTGCGGTGTTTGCCAGATTCACCCGCGGTATATGGCATACACACTAACCAATGAGAACGCGAAATGAAGCCAATCAAATCGATGCTTTCTGTATAACGTTCTCATCTGCTGTATATGGCATATTCGGCAGTTGAGTGTATCGCATATTTACTGTGGAATATGCCATACTCACCTGTGGAATATGCCATATTCTGCAGGTGAGTATGGCATATTCACCCGTATCACGAATGTCGCACAACCATGAATATATGCCATATTCCGCATTACAACTATAAGACTATGACTAGAATATGTAAGCACTAGTGCTAAAGGGTAAGGACCAAAACTTGTTCAGAACAAAGTAAGAAAAAGAAAACATTTAAGTACAGAAGGGGGCCTCAAAAGCTACTTGAATTCACAATTTTGAAAAGCAAAGGTCATATTTTTGCGATTCTGACACTACGCTTTCATAATATTCTTTGAGGTTCGATGTACAGATAGCCGAGAATATGCTAATAGCCGTAGCCTCTTGCCGTCAGAGGGTATTTTAACCTACTTTTGAGATTTGTATGGAAAATAGGTCAAAACAAAAAGTTCTAAATTAATGCAATGTTTGAGGTGTCAAAATACTGGGAAATTTTTGAAATCAGAATTGAAATCTGACTTCGAGTTTAGATTCCTTGATGTTTCGAAATCTCGAAAAGTCGACTTGATGATATCCTCATGTTAAGTCAATGGTGCAAACTTGATCAGCAACCCACTAAGCTACTTAATCAGCTACTTACCCAGCTACCTATATCATATTTATAGTGTATATAATATTAATAAGATTTCATTTTCAAATCCATAAGGGTTATTGGTCTCAATTCTCCTAGTAATTTAAAAATAAGTGAAACAAATGAAGGCCTACCCCTATTTTTCAATTTGTTTTAAAAAATCATGACTTTATATATATTTATATTATATTTAAGGCATACATAATATATATATGCTTTCATTATAAAGTCCTTAGGGGTTAATGATCTTAATTCTCCCAGTGATTTAAAAATAAGTGAAGCGAATGAATGCCTACCCCTAATTTTTTTAATTTTTTTTTCGAAAGTTATGATTTTTTTTCTCAACAACTAATGGATGCAAAATTCTCTTGCTTTATATATGTATGTATTACATAATAAGGTAAAACTGGGATTTTTTTATACATGATTAAGTCGCTATTTAGGAATATAATGGCGTTCACATAAAATTACCGTGCGCATTTAATGCAAAATTTGAGATGAATAAGGGTTAAAAATATTCTTATTCACTCTGAATATCAAAGGTTAAGAGATACACAGATTGGGATACCTTATTACAAGCAAGAAATTGTAAAATTACTTTAAAAAAATTGCAGGCATTTGAAAAATAATTTTTTCCTTAGGGGGGTCTGTTTTTCAAGGGGAGGGGGTACCAAAAATGATTTTTTTACATGTTCCACTTAATAGATTTTGGTAGATTTTTAGTATGTCATTTCATATGTTTATATGAATTGGAAAAACAACATTTTATTACTATTGCAATTAGTTTTGGGTCAAATGTTACTTTGACTGGACTAAATTGCAGTAATAAGGAGAAGTTGCGATAAAATCAACAATGGAAGAGTTTAGCCCTGTTGCATTGAGAATTAGGAATATATTGTGAATACAAAGAAAATAATAGGTCAAAATATGTTTTTAAGGAATTTCATAATAAGAAAAAGTCATATCATTAGTGTCCTCGAGTTGGTGATAGGCCTTTAACAATGGATAAAGAAAAGCAAAAATGATATCGGGAGCGTATTGAGTGCAGATTTTTTCAGACTTGAAAAATTGCACCCAGTTGAAATTTTTTTGGGGAGAATACTGCATCTTCACTTGTTGTGTTTTAGAACTACAACTTGCCTAATTTGGACCAAGATGAGGAGGATTTGTTGTTAGAGCTTGACAACTTTGAAGTGAGTTTCAGCAGCCTCACTCTGAGACAGGTCATTGGCCAAGGGGCATTTGGAAAGGTTGTCTGTGCTGAACTACATGCCTCTACGAGAATAATGCGCAATGCACAACTACCCATGGTTGCAGTTAAAATGTTAAAAGGTACACATCTTGCTTGCTTGAAATTTTAATTTTGCAAGTTTTAGTTTCGCAACTTTTGAGAAATCACAATTTTGTAGCTATTGAATTTTGTGGATTTTTTTGATACTGATCATCAGAGAAAAAATTTGGATGAGATATGTTATCCAATATGCAGTGAGAGTTGAATGCCATAGAATTTAATCAAGGTGTTATAGCATGACCGTTACGACACCTCTGAAAACGAGATTAGACGACTACGATCACTGATGTGTCCAATAAAATGGCTGCGATGGAACAGAAAACTAAGGTTGGTGCAGTATTTTCTTCTACTGTGTATCAATGAGAGGATAAACGATTTTTGTAGACATCGCATTCGGTGCATTTAGTAATGTATATTTTGAACGTATTGTTGAGTTTGAAATTCAAAACTACACAAAATTTGTTTATTTTTGTCGTTAGGGCATGGTCTACATTGCCTAACGACCTCGGGGTATATAGATGTAACCTGCATACGATCATAAAAAAAGCCAATTGAGCATTGGCAACCACCTAATATGTTCTACTTAAAGAGGCAATAAGGACTGTAGAGAGAAAATTCGAAAATTTTTATTTTTTCTGAGCTATCAGGTCAATATTTGGCTTAATACCTTCTTTGACATACCTATTTTCATAAAATGTATGTATAAACTATCAATTTCAGCATTAAGAAGTGTAAATTCAATTCAAAGCTTCTATAAAGGGAGTCCCACTTATAGATTTTTAAGATCCATCATGTTTCAAGAGGAATATAAGCTGAAATAATGTTCATCCAGAGGGTTTCTTTGTAGATAATGAAAATATATGTTAGTCTTGATGAAATATCCAAACCTAAATATATTTTGACACTTGTCGATGATCGTTGAATGGCCCCCCTGCACTATTTGTAGCACCTTTAAGCCATAATATTGTATTTTTAATTTGCAGTTACGCTAAAAATTGATTGACGGTTACGCGAATCTCGTTCAAATATGTGTCCCAGATTCATTGTTATTAATTTTGTCATACTGTATTCATCAGTACTTGATGCTAATTCTTCTTTTGCCTCTTCATTGCTATCTTTTTGACTTAAATTGGTTTCATTAATAAAGCAAGACACAATTTTTTCTTTGCCCTATAGAGGCTCAAACAAGAGCGTCTCTTGCGAGTCCTGAAAACAAATATATAAGCAATTCAATATTCCATTTCTTATCCATTATAACAATTACATGGAAAGAGGCTATCAGAACCAGCAACCTTAACTTGAAAGACGTACATGCACATAACCGTCCGCTAAATATCTAATGTACATCTAATACAATACGTTACCGTCCATAGAATTCATACGTAGTCGTCTAACGACATTGCATTTGAAACCTTATTATTTACAATATGATCACGTTCCTGTTCTGGATTTGTCATTTTATGGCTTGTTTATACACAGTTTACTTACTGTTAATAGTTTGAGTGGCTCTGAGGCACAAATACTGAGAAATCACGAGAATGGACTAAAAAATATGAACTTGGACATCTCAGTCGGTAAGTTTATACAGCTTATATTCTAGTAAACCACCTGGCAGATTTGACCCAGTCTTTATAACCATCCATATATACGTCACCGAATGGAACTAGTTAAAAAGGAAATCTTATCTGTGAATCTTGCCTACAGGCGAGAAAGAGGACATGCTGTCTTTCCCATCCGCCATTTTTTGTTATCGTTACCGCAATATTTTGCAAATCGCCTTGTCGTAACCGTCATGCTATAACACTGTGATAATGGCATTTAACATTTAAGTGGCAGGTATGACATTTTATCATTCAAATAGTATGTCCTTTGTTAAATTTTCACAATGTTGATATAAATTGATTGAAGATTAATATGGCTTGCACTATATAGGTTATTTCATGCTTGATTTTCAATATGAATTTTATTCCACGGGAAATATGACATTGACCTCGGTAAATATCATATTGACACTCACTCGCTACGCTCGTTCGGTCAATATCATATTTCCCTCGGTCAATATCATATTAACGTGGAACAAAATTCATATTGAAAATTAAGCATGAAATAATCTTTTTATTCCATTATTTAATTTTTGAGAATTTGAGGAAAATGAAAATTTCTGGAAAAATGAAGATTTTTGAAAAAATGAAGATTTTTGAAAAAATGAACATTTTTGAAAAAATGAACATTTTTGAAAATAAATGAAAAGTTTTGGAAAAATGAAAATGTTTGAAAAAATGATTCAAAAATGAAATTTTTTTTGAAAAAATGAACTTTAAAAAAAAAATAGGGACAATATGATGATGTATGCATTTATATGAATTTTTTCCAGCGACAATATGATTTTTCGAGTATATATTATTTTAAGAGGGATAATATTATTATTATTATGAGCTTTATTATACTTTTATCCCACATTTGGGCAAAGTGTACAGCTTAAACAGAAAAAATGAAAAAGCTTAATTATCTATAATTATATTAACTAATCAAGGGTGCTAAATCATTGCAAGATTTTATTGGATGTATTTTGTGTTTTTTTCTCTCTCAATAAAAATATTTGATATATATTTTGCGAGTATATTTAATATTATTCCCTCTGAATTAAATAGAAACATTAGTTTATGTTCCACGTTATTCATGTTTTCTAAATTTTGACAGTGTTTTTTATTTTATCCATGTAACTTGATCGATCATCTTTTAACTTATTGCATTCTAATAGGAAATGGCATTCTGAACCGGTTTTCTTGTTACACATTAAACATTTTCTGTCTTCAACATGATTTTATTTCCCAGGGAAAACAGTAGTATTATTGAATAAATTGGAATATTCAATGGGTAGATATTTTTAACTTTTATTTGAAAGATTTGAATATTCAAAAAATAGGAACCTGACAACATTTTCCCTATATTTTGTTTAAAGATTCTTTATATATCTTATCAAATCATGAAAAATACTAAATGAATCATAAAAACAGATTTTCAAGCTTCAGAAAGGGCCTTTAATATATATGTGAGGTCCTGGGTGACAAATGTCAATGCTTTTCCACAAATGTAATTAAACTTTCAGTTGTTTTAAAGCAGCATAGGCATTAAGCATACTATAAATGAATATCAGCAATGAAGTTGTCCTCAAAATGAAATAGACTACATGTAGAATGGAGATGCAAGTAGAAATAACATTGATTTACATCATTTACTTTTGCTCAAAGTTATATCATATTTGAAATCTACATGTAAAATTAAATCTGGAAATTCGGTTTGAAAAAGTTTTTATCAACTTTGAAAATTAAATTTTCTTTGAAAAGGTGGTTTCTTGATTCTAGGGCTTGTAGGTCTGTATGTGTTTTTCTTTTGTTGATTCTCTTAATGATTGATACATTGCAGCAAAAGGCTTTTACTAGACTCTGTCCATTGTTAATTGTAGGGCTGTATGTGTTTTTCTTTTGTTGATTCTCTTCATGATTTATACATTGCAGCAAAAGGCTTTTACTAGACTCTGTCCATTGTTAATTGTAGGGCTGTATGTGTTTTTCTTTTGTTGATTATCTTCATGATTTATACATTGCAGCAAAAGGCTTTTACTAGACTCTGTCCATTGTTAATTGTAGGGCTGTATGTGTTTTTCTTTTGTTGATTATCTTCATGATTTATACATTGCAGCAAAAGGCTTTTACTAGACTCTGTCCATTGTTAATTGTAGGGCTGTATGTGTTTTTCTTTTGTTGGTTCTCTTCATGATTTATACATTGCAGCAAAAGGCTTCTGGTGAACATTGGAAAGTCAATTGATTCTAGGGCTATTATACTGCAGCAAACATTGTGATACTCATAGCATCTTTCTGTTTCACCTAGCTGAAACATCTCAGGGCTTAAAAATGAGATGTCATGGTTTATCATGATGTGCAGCAACAGGCTTCTACTCAACTCTAGAAAGTTCATTCGTTATTCTTTTGTTGTTTGTTGATTGTTATGCATTTATAATTATTCATTTTAATATAGATGGCGCGCTGGAGGAAGATGCTCAGAATTTGCGCTCAGAGATCAAGTTGATGAAGCAACTTGGGCGTCACAAAAACATTGTTTCAATGGTAGCATGTTGTACTACTGGGCCTAAGGTCTGTCTCGTTATGGACTACTGTCCTTTAGGAGATCTCAAGAACTACTTACGTAGACTCAGAGAGAAGGTAAAATTGCCCAAATACTATAAGCTTTTTGATACCCTTTGATACTCTTTCACTGTATGGATATTAGAGACTATACTAGATTTTGTGTTATTGTCTTGCTTTGATTATCCACAGAGGTTCTCATTTTTTAGTAGAAGTATTGAATGCAAATGTCATTTATTCAATACAGTGATGATAAATTAATAGGCACTCATATTCTGTTGGGTGAACATCCAATATTTCAAGATAGTTTGAAGGCTTTCTTCAAAGACCCCTGGAACAACTATGTTATTAAACCAATCAAGCAGACAGCATTTAATTTCTTAATACAGAGTGACCCATCTTTATAGGTATTTTAATATACATAATATGTATGGATCGTATTTTTGAGTTGACCCTGTAATGAATGTAAATGTCAGCCTAAACTGAAAGCCTGATAATATTTCTATTCTAGTACGCACCGCTGTTAAATCTTGTGCCAACTAGTCAAGCGGACAAAGTGTACAGTTTCTATCAGGCGAGGCATCATTCTGAAGAAGACAGTGGCACATGTATTACGGATATGACTGCACTGTCGAGTAGCAAATCATCTTTACAGAATATAGGTTAGCCTTGAAAAATGTAAAACCGAGATAGTTGTACTTTGATCCTTAAAGCGGCAACAAGGTCTGTGAAGAGAAAAATGGATAAACTTTACCTTTTCCGAGCCATCAGGGCAAAGTTTGGTGTAACATCTTCTTCCTTATTCCTATTTTATTAAAATGTATGCATATGACAATATTCATCAACCAGCCAGAAGAACTGACAAATCATTTAGAATCTATAATTCTATAAAAGGAGTCCCAATAATAAATTTTATAGATCCAAAATACAGTATCCGTTATACTTTGTCATATTTTAATCGGTAAAATTGAAGGCTTTATTTCGATGGCAGAACATATTTAACTATTCAATCATTATCAGTCTAAGGCATTCCAAGTCAGAAATATAATTAATGAAAAAGTAAATGGATTCTCATATAGGATAATTAAATAGTCCTATTAAAACAACATAAACAACTCAGCAACATCCTGACCAAACCGCCTATACAGCCCTCTAAAAGTTTATCTCTTTCTGGTCAAATTAGGTTCACTTAATATAAAAACATCATAACAAACAACATCCCAAGACTTTCTTTTAAGAGCATTTAAACTTAAGCCCAGAAATGGAGATGTTATTGCCCAAACATGGGAGAGAATGTTTAAATGTTCCCTGTATATTAGTAAGTTAAATATTTTATACTCTAAAAATCTTCCTGTCCGACAGTTAAAAAATGAGTTACAAAATGACCATAGAAATTACAATTAGAGAGATGTGGCCACACCTACTAATTCCTGAATGCTTTTCATGAGGTACATGTTGGGCGCCACTGAGTCATCTAACCTTAGGCAAAAGAGACCATATTCTTTCAAAAATCCAATTATAGTTTTGCGTAGACCATAAGAATGATTTCCAATAATTCAATTGTGATACAGCTACACACACTTTTTATTTAACCCTTGGCAGCAAAAATGGGTAAAAGACAAAACAAAGGAAAACAAGTGAATTATTTTTCAATAATGAATGTTATTTTTTCATAAAAATAACAAGATGTCATCCTCCAACTTAAGCATATGATCAACATGTACACAAGTAATATAACATGACTAATTAAAACTATAATTTGCATGTACCTCACATTTTTATCCCATCGAACGAAGTTCAGAGGGATATAGGGGACGCCTCCGTCCGTCCGTCCATCCGTCCGTCCGTCCGGGCAATAACTCAAATACCCTTGGCCCGATTTTGTTCATATTTTGTACACATATACCCTATGGGGGTAGAAGTTCTGCTCGAAAGCCCATTTTCAAAATGGCCGCTCATTTAAAAATGGCGGCCATTTTAGTGCCGATTTTACAGTAATTTAGGTCCAATATGTAAAACTGTAATAGCAGTATGTTTTAAATGTAAAAAATTATATAGGACATTGATAAAGCTAAAAATGTAGATATTAAAGAAGCACATGGCAGCCATCTTGAAAAATGGCAACCTTTACTAGTTATTTTACGATTTTTGCTATAACTCAAGAAGTAGTGGCGCGATTTTGTTCATATTTGGTAAGTTAATACTATAAGCATGGCTCACTGTCTAATGACACTTTTGGTAGGAGGTGGCCATTTTGAAAAATGGCCGCCATTTTGGAAAATGGCCGCCATTTTAACATATTTTACTATAACTCGAAAAGTGGTGGAGCGATTTTGTTCATATTTGGTATGTGAATATTATAAGCATGGTACACTGTCTAATGACACTTTTGGTAGAAGGTGGCCATTTCTGTTCGATGGGATTCGCTACGCTTTGGCGTTGCCGTTGTTCTGGTTTATTATATTTTTAGAAATATCTGAGAAAGATTTTTGAAAAATGGCCACCATTTAAACGTATTTTACTCGTCCTTTACTCGTTATTTTACGAGTTTTGCTGTAACTTGAAAAGTAGTGGAGTGATTTTGTTCATATTTGGTATGTGAATACTATAAGCATGGCACACTGTCTAATGACACTTTTGGTAGAAGGCGGCCATTTTGAAAAATGGCCACCATTTTAAAGTAATACTAGAAAAGTAGTGGAGCGATTTTGTTTATATTTGGTATGTGAATACTATAAAAAAAAGCATATTACTTTTTCTGATGACAACTTGGCTTGTGAGTAACCATTTTGAAAATGGTGGCCTTTCTTATGTGTGTTATTTTATGATATTTATATATTTCGTTTGTAAAAATGCCAGCCATTTCTGTTCGATGGGATTCGCTACGCTTTGGCGTTGCCGTTGTTCTGGTTTATTATATTTTTAGAAATATCTGAGAAAGATAATTTGCCATGCATGGTATGTCCCCTACCTCCCCTATAATATGCATAATGAATAAAAAATATGTGATCCTTAATGAAGCTAAAATAAGTTATTCTTGTGGTAAAAGTGTGAAATTAGGTTTGACCCAAATTTTGACCTATCTTTCAGCCCGATCCGCATCGAATAATTTTTGCTGATTCTAATTTATGTTTGCCATAAGATATTATTGGTATTTTGCTTATATTTCACCATTAACCTACGTTAAAAATATATTTTATACCCCTACCCCCATGTTTGAAAATGAATAGATGGTGCCTCTTTAATTGCAAATAGCGAATTTGTTTGCCACTCATTTTTATTCCACCCAACATAAATTTACTCTAGAGAGTATCTGGAACAAAATGATACCAACAAACCTTTTTTCACAGCCGAGTAACGAAATCGGAGCTGAGGACTGTATCATAAGGTTTGTGCACAAATTCTAGCTGCATATATTGAAAATAGATACATTTTTAAAGGCTATAACACATTCAAAGCTTTCATTTTACGATAGGCCCAAGATCACTGGATATGACTCGGCAGTCCAAGTTGCTACTTTAATAAGCCACATTGTCCGTTTCATATTGTGAGAGGTCAATGCAAATCTATCTATCCTCAAAGGTATAATGCATTTAATGTTCAATTATATTTTATAATTATTTTCTTCTTTAAAAGGGAACTTTATTCACACTCTATGTTAGAGATAAATCTTTGATCAAGCCTTGTCAAAGTATGTGGATCAAAACTATTGAAATACAATAACAGCTTCTTTTTCATTAAGATCCTAGCAGGCTCAAGTCTGCAAAATTATCCTTTCCCATCAAATGATAGTTCTCACTTATAGCCTCTTTACTTCAGGGTGATTTTAAAAGCATATTGTTAAACTTCACTTCTAGAATTCTATATCATCAAATAAAAAGTGGAAGTGGAATTGTTCTTGTTTCAACTTGTTTGTTTTATTTACCATTCTTTAATAACCTTACACCTTAACTATTGCAATATACATAATATGATATCTTATAGAATGTTGAGATTTACTAGATATCCCAAGAGTTATAAATTATCATTTTAACACTTTACATGACTTAAAGGTGCAATAATTAGTGCAGAGGGGTCATTCAACAGTCCTTATTGCCCCTTTAACATATTACATGACATAATATAATATATTGGGTGTCCCAAAAAATGAGACACATTTTGACATTTATTATCTCAGCAACTGCCTCGAATTAACTGAAAATGTGTACACAGTAGTAGCCTACATTGTAAGAGTATCATGAGCAAGTTGTAAAAATATGAAAAAGATGTAAAGTAAATATTGTGTGAGTACTAAGAAATTCAAAATGGCATATCAAATATTCCCATGAGCTCTACGATGGGACCTCCATCGTGTTTTTACCAGCTATCAGGTGATAGCATCTGTCAATCAGTCAAAATAGCTTGTCTGTGTGTCCTGTCTGATTAATTTGTTTTATTCTTCTCAAATATCCAAAATCCATTCATTCTCAAAATTCATTGGGGACGATATTGTAAGAATAATTCTGCAAAAGTATTTTTGCTTAGAAATGAACTAATAAGTGATTTTTACATTGATATTGGTTATTTTGACATACTGTCTTTAATTCAAAAAATACAAACATAATATGAGACCAATCTCTTACATATTCATATCACTAGCAACCGACACCCTAAAGTGCCTCAAGTAAAGTTTTCAAAGAATTTGGCTCATCTATTGCTGAGAAATTAATTGCTTCCCATTTTTGGTACAAGCCCTATTATAAGTTCTCATTGTGTTGCTCCGGTATGGGATCTTTTGACATGTTATTTTGAATTTCTTCGTACTCAAATAATATTTACCTGATCTTTTTCATATTTTTGTACTTTGCTAATGATTCTCTTGGGCTACTTTGTACAAATTCTGAGTAAATTTGGTACATCAGTTATTGAGAAAAATACTTATCAAAAAGTGTCTCTTTTTGGGACATCCGATCTATATATTTTTTCTTTTATTGCTTCTACATAAACATTTTACATTACAGTACATCATATTTTACAATTTCACAAAACATAATAATGTTTTATTTGGCAAACATAAAACATTTTGCCTGGATCTGGATGTAATCTTTCATAGAAATTACATCTTTATCACCCAGTGTTTATTAGTTGGTACTCTCATCATCCTTTATTATTTTCATTTGCAATAACAATTTACTTCATTTGATCGGTTTTAAGAGGACAATTCATTCTGATACTCTCCCTCATTTAAATGATTACACTCATGAGCTGGTAAAATGGGCTTTTCTCATTTTAAAGAACTCACACTTCAAACAAAGGTTATAAATTAATAATGTATGTTGTGTTCTCAAAGTTTTTGACTACAAATTAATTTTTGTCATCAAACATTTCAGCAAAACCGCTTACCTTTTCAACTTGAAATTTTTACAGATGCAAAAGTAGACTAGTGTCAAGATCTGAGAAGGTTTAGGGCTTGCTGGATAAATTTCTCAGTGGTCATTCTGAATTTTTCCAGAAATCTTGTCATAAAGGAAAACCACCTATTCACTTGAAATTTAAAAGATAGAACAGACTATGTGCCAATATCTGATTAGGTTTTGGGAATGCTGACTTGTACTTAGGCACATGGTGGCCATTTTGAATTTTTTGATTAATCGGCCATTTTGAATTTTTCAACCTATTTTTCAAATTAACATATTTATTTTTATTTGAAAATCATCTTCAAGTTCTCAGGAATTCAAACCTGACCTTTGATTTGATTTCTTGACCTTTGGGTGACCTTTAGTGACCTTCCAAGTTTGAAAGATTGATTTTTAAAAATGATTTTTTTTATTCAAATTTAGGCAAGTTTAATACAAAAGATCTACTGAAGTCTGAAAAGGTAAAGTTTTCAAGGTCAAGGTCATCAAACTAGGTCACAAATGCTGATATTTAAGTTTTTCAAAGTTTGAGACTACAATTCCATTCTTGTCATCAAAGTTCCAGGAAGACCGCTGATCTGTTGAAGGCCCTCAATTTTAAGAAAGGGCCCTTTTGGAAAATGGGCCAAAAGATGATATTTTTTATACATTTCAACAAACAATGTGTACATATAGTGATTAAAACAACCATTAAAACAATGTTCAAGGTACCTCTTTATTTCCATTAAACAACATATTGTGACCCTTGTGATATACATGTTTAGAAATATTGAAATGTCACTTCCACTTTAGATGCTGGTTCAAAGCGGCCTGAATCTGGAGCTCTATCTGAAGAGAGTGCTGTGTGTCTTACTGAGGATAAACTGGTACCCAGCAAGGAGGACTTTGTTAGTTCAAAACAACTTATATCATACGCCAGACAGATTGCAGTTGGCATGGTAGGTGTTAGTGTACTATATAAATCCCAGATGAATCTATTAAAATTACGTATTGAACTAAAACTTCTGAAGTGTGGTCTTGTGAAATTCAAATAGACTAATCTAAAAGATCTTTCTGCTCTGAAAGATTAAGCATATACATGTAGTTATATAGAATAATTTGCAACTGCTCATTTAGCATGACATAGAAATATTCACGTGCAATTACAGGAATATTTATCACAGAAGAAATTTGTACATCGAGACCTAGCATGTCGTAATGTACTTGTCTTTGATCACAACTTGGTGAAGATATCTGACTTTGGCCTGACTCGGGATATATATGAGAACAGCCTCTATCTTAAAACCACACCTGGAAAGCTTCCGTTTAAATGGATGGCTATTGAGTCAATATTTGACCAAATTTATACAATTAGAAGTGATGTGTAAGTATGAAAGGGAGCTCCGACATCCAATCGTTTAGAGGGAGGGGGTTAACCAATAGGCCAAATCTAAGATACTGCGAGCAGCTTAATTGTACATTTGATCATTTTGGGAATAATTGTTTTTGAAAATCATACACTTGGTAACAAAGGGGTTCTTTGACACTAATTATCCAAGCGAATAAAGTTCAGTAGGGATATAGTGAAACCATTCAAGATAACTCAAATACTAATGGACAGATTTTCTTTATATCGGTGAATAGTTGAAATTTTGGTAGTGTATTAACAACATCTATCTATTTTATATATATTCAGAATTTTCACCATGATCCCCTGGTGCCATGGTGGGGGGTCCGGAAAATGGGAATTTGCGTTAATTTTGAGATCTTTCTAAGTATAGCCTTATTATACTCATATGAAAGGCAATTTAGAGTAGATTGCAAACATTGTATCTGTTTTGCAATTTGGGCCTTGTAAAATTCAAAATGGCCACCTTATGTGAGGTTTCGCAATAATTTTCTGATCCCTTTAAAGTATGGCTATATTATACTCAAATTGAAGGAATTTTAGGGTAGATCATTACCTTGGTGTTGTCTTTCTGATTTGTGCTTCAGAAAATTCAAAATGGCTGCCAACAGGAATTTGCATTTATTTTGAGATCTTTCTGAAGTAATACTTTATTATACTCAAATGGAAGGCAATTTAAAGTGGATTCCAGATATCGTATCTGTGTGTAATTTGTTCACAATAATTTTCTGATCTCTTCAACGTACATGTATGGCTATGTTATTCTCAAACTGTAGGTAATTTAGTGCAGATAACTGATTTGTGCCTCAGAAAATTCAAATTGTCTTTATTGTTTGTGCCTTTAAGACTCTCAAATGGTCATCCAAATGCTTTTTAAGAATGGTAGAAATTCTGATATATCTCTAATGTTTCCAAACTTCAGATTTTTTTGTGACAAATAAAGATTCATATGTGTTATAGTGTTTGTTGGGATTTGCTACTCCATGGAGTTGCCGTTTTCTAGTTCTGAAAATGTGTACATGTATATTGCATTTGTCTTTTTCGGTTCTAATGAATTTCGACATTTCTACTTCTCAACTTCAGCTTCAATAACTTCAGTATTAGATATCTCAATTCTATTTCAGTATAAATTGAAAATTAGGATTTAATGGAAACATTAGCATGCCTAGAATATATACATGGCTACTGCCATTATGCACCCTACATTCTGTGCTTCCACTTGAAAGGGATATATCATGCTGTCATCTTTTAAGATTTCACTTGGGAAGTCATGTCATAGACATGATGATAGACATGATGATAGCCTTATAAAAAGTCAAGGGAAGTGAAGAAAAAATTGAAATAAAAATACCAATCCAGTCCATTTCCAGGTCAAAGTCCAGGTCCAAGTCAAGGTCCAGGTCTAAGTCCAGATCAGGTCCCAGTCCAGTCAAAGTCCAGGTTCAGGGCCATGTCCAGTCCGGTTCCAAGGCCAGTCGAGGTCCAAAGGCAGTCCAGGTCTAAGTCCAGTCCAAGTCCAGCACAGGTTCAATCCAGTCAAGATCCAAGTCCAGTCCAAAGCCAGTCCAATCCAGGTCCAAGTCCAGGCCAATGTCTAGGTCCAAATCCAGGTCCAAGTCCAGTCCAGGTCTACGTCCAAGTCAAGTCCTGGTCCAAGTCCAGTTCAGGTCCAAGTCAAGTCTAGTCCAGGCCCAAGTCCAGTTTAGGTCCAAGTTTAGACCAGGCAAGGTCTAAGTCCAAGTCCAGGTCAGAGTCCAGTCAAGGTCCAAGTCCAGTCCAGTCTGTCCTTCCATCCGTCCATACAGAAGATCTGTCATCTGGAGTCTGAGATTGAACTTGTTCAATTTCCCCAGTCTAGTGATCTTTGATTTAATCCTTCTAAAAGTTTATTCTTTTATTCTAAGCTGAGAAGCTCTGAGCATAGTTTTGCACAGAAAGTGATGACCACTTGTCTAGAAGGGGATTTGTGCAATTTTCCTTCTCTGTAATCGACGAGATGAGAGTTGATGACATCACTCTCTTAATGAAATCTTAAAGGCCCACTTTGGGATTTTTTAACATTTTTGGGCAAAATAGAGACTTACATTTAAATTTCATAGTATGCCCAATGTATTGATAAGGAACTTGTCTTTCATTTGACACCAACAACAACTCGAATGGACCACATCAAAGCTTACAATAAATTATCTAAAAATATTTTTGATCTGTCAAGATTTACATATCAAGTTTTTATCATTGAAAGATGGCAAAGTTTTTTTTTTATAGAAGTGTTGCCATCTTTTAAACCAATAGTAATTTAAAATATGCACTTTGTTTAACATGTGCATGCATGTCTTATGATTTCAGAAATTCAAATGCTTTTTTCTACGTGAGGTATTTTTTTCTTGGTTCAATATTAAAGCAAATCAAACTTTGTGTCATATTTGAGCAAGTGTGTTAGTAAAATGAATCTATGATTATTATTATTTTTTCTTCTTAATTAAGTATAGTGCAGCTTTTTTAGATGGGGGCTTACTTGAAGTGAGCACATATATTTCTAAATGATCAACATTGACTATATATAGATATAGGATTTTATTAGTACTGATGCCCTTTTAGGGCCAAACGTACATCCGATATACAATTTTCAATAACAGTAAATATAGCAATAAAGTAAAGAAAATAGGATTACATTCTTCAAATGACATATATAAAATGTTACTTTGATATAAGAATCCTGTCTCTACCAATCATTAGATACTTTATCATGTCAGCAGCTTCTTTTAATATGATCCCCTCACTCGTCAATAGAAAAATTGTCTTTTGGTGATCATTCATGTTTTTAAAATTACTACACAGGTTTTCAAGTTTTTCAATATGGGATTTTCTGATAAACTCCAATTTTTTACATTTGAATAAAAAGTGTGTTTCATCTTCTATAACCGAGTCCTTACATATTTTACAAAATCGACTATTAAGATCAGTAATTGGTTTTGTATATCGGCCTCTCTCTATCTCTAGATTGTGGGCGCTTATACGTAATCTAGTTAAATGTTTAGCGTTTGAAAGTCTCGTTTCTGAAAGGTAGTGTTCAAACCCAAAGTGCGATTTTAGTTGTTTAAATAATCTAAGTTTCCCCCCATTCCCACTTATCAGATTCTTCCAATATACTTGATATCTCTCTATTAATTTCTTTTTGACTTTAATAGCAAGCCTATTTGTGCTCTTCTCTATGTTTACCTTATCTTCAAGATTCAATTCATCAGACATTTTTATTTTAATATGGCACAGTATATTTTTGAGTTGTTTGTGCCATGTAAATGTGTTATTTGTTAAAACAAATGTTTTACTCATAATTAATGAATCGTTTAGTAAACTCCCATTTGCACTCAACTCTAAATGACCGAGGTATTTGATTTGTCTTTTTATAATATCGACTACCAAAGGTATTCTTCCCAATTCTCCTCTTACTGCCATGTTTGTGGCTTTTCTATGAACTCCGAGAACATATTTTTGGAACCGAATATGATTGTTTTCAATTAAAGCACTTTCGTATTTATGTTCAATATCTCTATTAGTTAGGCAGTCACGCTTGGTATATATATCAGTACACCATATTTCCGACCCGTATAAAGCAACGGGTTTGATAAGTTGATCATACAATTTCATTTTCAGTGAAGACTTCATCTCTGTGCCGCTTGTCAATTGATAAACTTTAAACATGGCTTTATTTGCTTTTTCCTTTATGTTTTGCTGGGCCGGTTTAAAAGATCCCGAAGCACTTAAGATAATTCCCAAATATGTATACCTTTGAACATTTTGTATAATCTTACCATTTATTTGAAATCGTTCTTGACAAACTTTGCCACATTTCCAGAATTTCATAATTTTTGTTTTGTCAATGTTAATTTCAAGTTTCCAGTCATCACAGAAGGATTCAAGAGTGTTTAATTTTAGCTGCATTCCTTCTTTACTAGTATCAAATATGACTAAATCGTCTGCGAATAGCAAACTGCTAACATGTTGAGTTTCAAGGAATGGAGATTTCCCAACATTATCAAACTTTTTTATAATATCATTTATATATATGTTAAATAATAATGGACTGAGCGAGTCTCCTTGTTTTACACCCCTAGCACATGAAAACGATTCCGTATAAGTTGAGTGATTAAGTTTTACACACGCCGTGGCATTTTCATACATATATATACATTTTCCAGTGTTTTGCTAAATATGGAAAGTATGTATATGATTATCCCACCGAGTGAAGTTCGAGGGGGATATAGGAAAGCTGTTCGTCTGTTTGTTTGCCAGTCTGGGCAATAATTCAAATACCGTTTTGACTTATGGTTGTAGGACATCTGCTGGAGAAGGAATTTCCAATATGCTCTCATAATTCAAAATGGCCACTATTTTTCATAAAAAACATAATCCTAAATAACATAAATACTATTTGACAGCTTTGGTTTAAAATTCATAAGCTGATGCCTAGGGACAAAAAAGCTTTGCTCAAACAGAGATTTTCAAGATGGCTGCTGAATTCAAAATGGCCTCCATTGTTTGTAAAAGAACATTATCATTGATAACTCAAATACCATATGAGGGATTTTGTCTAAATTTTCTTTGCCTTGAGATACAGGAGCTCTGCTCAAAAAGACATTTATAATATTTGATATCTCCAATATCATTGCTTGAATTTGCTTCATATAAGCTGATGTCAGAGATCAAAACAGCTAAAATTCAATATTGCTGTCATTCTTCATAAAAACGTTAATCAAGGGAGGAATTTTCAAGATGGCAGTTAAATATCAAAATGGTCACCTTTTCATTAAAAGAACACAATCTTTGATGAGTCAAATACCAGTGGAGCAATTTTGTTCAAATTTTATATGGTGATACCTCTGATGACATTTCACCAATTTAAAGTTAGGAGTTTCAGATTTAAATACAAAAAGAGGAAAATCTTTTAATTTGTCTGAAAAAGAACCTCGATATTTTACAAAATGAGCATGCTAAACAATTAACATATATAGAAACTATGAACCATAAAGTTTGAGAGGGTGATTACTTACATGAGGTGAACTACAAGCAATGATACTTGGGTTTTGTTCAATCATTTCATTAAAGTGGATATAGTCATTGAAATGTGTTGAACATATTGAAATACACCATATGCTAAATTCAGTCCCTGTTTCTTAATAAAAGCATTAAACTAAGAATTAAAAACATTTAATGATAACACTTTTTCAGGTGGTCATTTGGTGTTACATTATGGGAACTGGTAACTTTAGGTGGCTCCCCCTATCCTGGTGTGTCGGGCAATGAACTTTTCAAATTGCTGAAAGATGGCTATCGTATGGAGAAGCCGGATAACTGTAGTCCTGAAATGTAAGTTAAATGAAATGGGCCGATCGGGTGTGGGCAAGACAGATGCCAACACTGAACTGGATATAAGTTATTTATAATCTGACAAAAATTAAGATTTCTTAAAGGCAGAATCAGATTTAGCAATTACTTTGGTGCTTCACCTTGACGAAAATTGCTTCAATTTTAGATTATTTTTGGCTCATATCATTCCTTGTGATGTCTATTTTCTAAAAATTCCTCAAGTATATACTTTATTTGAGGAAAACTAAAGATTTTTAAAATAATGCAATCATTTGTCTATTTTTAGGTCACCACCGGAAAGTGGTGACATACAGGGTGTTCACTAATTAATGACACTAGGTCTCTCGTTTTGTCAAAGGAGGAGGGAAAGTATTGCAACAGACAGTCATATGTTGTTTCAGACAGTCATATGTTGGATTGTGGCTATTCTCTGAGGATTTAAACAGGTGCATGTGTTAGAGCAACACATTACCTCCAGGAAAAGCACTCATAAAGATGATAAAATAATTTCGACTTTGAGACAGGGGAGGTGCAAACAACCCACCCACATGTTTTTTCTGAAATGCTGTTCTGGTTTTTAACCCCTTCCACCCCTGCTTTTTCAATTTTTGTTGTATCAATATGTTGCGTTTTGACACACAGTTAACCACTTTAAAGGAATAAATAATTCCTTCAGGGGTTTAAAAGATATCCATTATGGCCAAAATCCAACATATGACTGTCCAAGATCTGTTGAGAGATTGGGTCAAAATTGTATAAATGGGAGACCTTATTACTTAGTGAACACCCTGTATTGTTATGGTCTCCATTTTTTGTGACGGCAGTTGGTGATCAGCAGGTGGTGGTTGATGGTTGGCGATCTGCGTCTGTAACAAATTCTTACAACTCCCAATAACTAACAAAAAATACTGTTAAGACTGACATGAATTTTTCAAAATCATCTAAAAGTTTTCCGAAGTTAAAATCTGATTTTAGATTTCAGATTTGACCTCCTATGACCTTCTTAAGGTCTTTTTTCAACTTGCTTCAAATTGACCAATTTTTTACAAAATCATCTACAAGTTCTCAAAAGTACAAATCTGACTATAGATTTGAGATTTGACCTTCTATGACCTTTTAAAGAAATTCGAGCAATAAAAATAACAAAATGTTACTTCTGTCACAAGATCAAACTACATATTATTTTGAAGAACTTTTCTGAATTTTTAGTCTTCAAACATGTTGGTGCAGGTGTTTAGCTTTCCAATGGTACCAAGATTAGCCGGTAACCTTTTGGAGGTTTAAACTTCTTTATTTGAAGACTTTATGAGATCTGGCTACTCATCTATATTCTTTGACATATTCTTCACCCTACCTACATGCATTTTGTAATTTAACAATCAACACAAGTATACCAAGTTCTCGGAATATCAAATCTGACTATAGATTTGACCTTTAATAACCTTCTCAATGTCAAAAAGATTCATAATATTGTGAGCACCTACATCTAGGTTTGTGGCATGTTATAGAATGTTGTGCGTGTTTGCCTTCTAAATATTGCAGATCATGTTTATGTGATTAAAATGTTATCCTAAGCTAGCTGTTTCCAATTAATGATAAATGATGATATTTTTCTACTGTTATTAAATGGATGAGACTTATTTGTTATTTTGATGGTTAAGCCTTGATGTTGTGGTTTCATTTCTTGTTAATAATGTTCAGATGACCTTTAATGTCAAATGAACCTTATTAACCATATACTTCATGATCATTTTACTCCATCCCAAATGAAAAATGTTTATTCACATTTTGTTTCTTATGTTCAGCTATCAGATCATGTTAACATGTTGGCATCCTACACCCAATGAAGGACCTTTATTCACATTTTGTTTCCCATCAGATTATGTTAATATGTTGGCACCCTACACCTTATGAAAGATCTACATTCACATTTTGTTTCCCATTTTCAGCTATCAGATTATCTTAACATTTTGGCACCCACACCTTATGAAAGATTTACATTCACATTTTGTCAACCCATTTTCAGCTGTCAGATTATGTTAACATGTTGGCACCTAACACCTTATGAAAGATCTACATTCACATTTTGTTTCCCATTTTCATCTATCTGATTATGTTAACATGTTGGCACCCCATACCTTATGAAAGATCTACATTCACATTTTGTTTCCCATTTTCAGCTATCAGATTATCTTAACATTTTGGCACCCACACCTTATGAGAGATTTTCATTCACATTTTGTTTCCCATTTTCAGCTATCAGATTATGTTAACATGTTGGCATCTAACACCTTATGAAATATCTACATTCACATTTTTTTCCCATTTTCAGCTATCTGATTATGTTAACATGTTGGCACCCCACACCTTATGAAAGACATATATTCACATTTTGTTTCCCATTTTCAGCAACAGATTATGTTAACATGTTGGCACCCCACACTTTATGAAAGACATGTATTCACATTTTGTTTCCCATTTTCAGCTATCTGATTATGTTAACATGTTGGCACCCCACACCTTATGAAAGACATATATTCACATTTTGTTTCCCATTTTCAGCTATCTGATTATGTTAACATGTTGGCACCCAACACCTTATGAAAGACCTTCATTCATATTTTGTTTCCCATTTTCAGCTATTAGATCATGTTAACATGTTGGCACCTTACACAGTATGAAAGATCTACATTCACATTTTGTTTCCCATTTTCAGCTATCAGATTATGTTAACATGTTGGTACCCCACACCTTATGAAAGACATATATCCACATTTTGTTTCCCATTTTCAGCTATCTGATTATGTTTACATGTTGGCACCTTACACCTTACACTGTATGAAAGATCTACATTCACATTTTGTTTCCCATTTTCAGCTATCAGATTATGTTAACATGTTGGCACCCCACACCTTATGAAAGACATGTATTCACATTTTGTTTCCCATTTTCAGCTATCAGATTATGTTAACATGTTGGCACCCCACACCTTATGAAAGATCTACATTCACATTTTGTTTCCCATTTTCAGCTATCAGATTATGTTAACATGTTGGCACCCCAAACCTTATGAAAGACATGTATTCACATTTTGTTTCCCATTTTCAGCTATCAGATTATGTTAACATGTTGGCACCCCACACCTTATGAAAGACCTACATTTACATTGTTGCGGAATAAACTAGAAAGAATTTTAGAAGAATCAACTCCCTACATTGACCTGAATATGAAAGGGAATAAGGACTACTACATTCAACAGGACAGTGTTTCAGGGTGAGCTTATTAATCAAATTTGAAAAAGGGATATTAAGTCTAACTTATATTACAATGCATTGTATTTTTATGTTTTAGTGCATCATAGTCACTTATATGTCATTGCAACATGTTAGATTCAAATATCAACGTACCCAATGACAAAATGTAATCAAAATGTGAAAATGCCATGTTATGCCACAAACCTGTAGAAACTCCAACGCATGGTTACACAGTGTTGTGCATATATTTAAAATCATTAGAAAGTGAAACAATTTGAAATGAAAACAAATTATGTTGTAAGAGTGAAGTAAGTTTCAATCCTAAATATTTTTGTATAATTTGAATAGAATTTATTATTTATTTAAATGATTTCTAAAATAGTTCCAGTGAAATTCGTGCTTTCTGTGGTGGCATTTCTGCAAAGGAAAATGATTCTGGTGAGATGAGATGTAAACCCAGGGAATCACAAGTTGAAGTACATACCTTACCTCAACCCACATATTACCGGTATGGTTCAAACCAACATGCTATGAAAAATTCAACCAAAAAAGAAATAACATTTGATGGACATTATGTAGCATGTGGGAGTAAGGTTGATACCAAGAAGCCTCTAGACCGTATAGATGATAATTTATTACAGTGCACTGAAGTATTTCATCAACCAGCCTCACCCCCCACATATAGTGATTACTCTCAAAGTGCTACAAGTGCAACTCCATTGATTCACCAATCAAATGAAAATATGGATTTGAACAAGGGCGGCAAAAATCCTGGCATTGTTTACTGTTTAGATGTATATAGGAAAGGCAAGAAAGGTTACGAAGTTAGTACAGGTGATTTATCATATGAAAGTGCAAAGTCAAATAATGGGACAACCACTGATCATTTATCAGAAGAGTAAAGACACAAACCTTCTTAAAGGCCTCATATAAAGTTTAAACCACTTTGACTTATATTACAGTTCTACCCAATGCGATCAATATGTGCTTTGTAAAACTTTATTAAAAATTCTTTAAGAGCAAGCTCTCCAGATTAATTTGACACAAGCAGATTTAAAATCCTTCTATGGTTGACTACACAGGACGGATTTCATTGACTCTGCGCGCCAACATCTCAGTGGTTAAAAAGAACCAAGAATAAAGAGGAAGCATTCCTCTAACATTTAATCTTATTCACAGTTAAAGAATGACATTTTACTGATTTATTTCTGCAATTTTCTATCCTTCTTTTGTAACATGGCCACTGTACCTATCCATGCAAACAAGCGCTTGTCTCAACATGTCCTTACAAACACGTGTGATGAGCTCCCTAAGTGGGATGACCTTGGGGGTCATCCGACTGGCTTATTCAATGCTATAATCCAATTTCAAAAGTGGTCTGTCAAAGTCCTAGACTTGTGAGCAAGAGTTCCACTCTGTTGTCAGCACACATGCTGGAAATGACCATTCTGCTGGCGTCAGAATCTTGGAATGCCATCCAGAGAAGGCGTAACATATTCAACCACTGACAAGTTTGCGCTAATCAGATTTCACATGAGTTAATAAAATCTGTCCATGCAGTCAATCATGAAAGAATTAAGAATCTGCCGGTGTCAAATTAATCAAAGGGGCTTGCCCTTCAAGACATCAAGTTAATTTTAAGGTAAACTCCACAATTATAAAACATTTTGACATTTTTATACATTTAACATTTTTATTGAGCTACACTGTAGTGATGGTTTTTCAAGTTTTAAAAAGAAGTGTTTGAATAATATTTCCAAACTTAACATGGGGCCTTTAAATGTTGATATAATCTGGAAAATAACTACTCAAGTAAAGTCGATGTAACCTAAAAGTTGGTTTTCAAGAGTTTGGAAATTCAATTATAAATTTTCACATCAATAATTTATGATAATGCATTGACTAGTACCATAATATCTCTAATATGTGCACATACTCCAATAAATGCACACCCTACTTTTTCATGAAAGATTCTGTCAACTTGAGCAACAAAAATCAAGAAAAAATAAATGATGCGAAAAAAATCATTGGGCGATAATAGGGTGATTTCAATTAATTCTATAATTAAGTGCTATCGATTTAGTCATTTTTGTGCACAATGCTTCTACAGATTGTCTCCGGAATCTTTAAAGTTATGAATACATTCATGATAATTTTCTATTGATGAGTTAAAAGCCATAATGAATGCTTAATCTGACCAAAGTCATTTGACACTTACAGTGCATTATGGGAGTTTCCGATTCAAAAATACATTTCCGACTTTCCCACACACACACACACACACAAATACTCATTCATTTTTATGTTACCACCAAAAAGTGGTGACATATTGTTATTGTCTCCGTTTTTTGTGGCGGCGATTTGTGGTTGGCGATCGGCGGGTGGCGGTTGGCGTCTGTAACAAATTAAAACTTCCAATAACTCAACAAATACTGTTTAGACTGACTTCAATTTTTCCAAGTCATCTACATGTTTTCAGAAATTCAAATCTGACTTTACATTTAGATTTGACCTTGAATGACCTTTTTAAGGTTAAAGAAGGTCAAAAAGTTAACTTACTTTGAATTGAACAACTTTTTAAAAAAAAAATCATCTACAAGTTATCAGAAGTTTAAATCTGACTTTAGATTTGAGATTTCACCTTCAATGACCTTTTCAGGGTCAACACTTGCTTCAAATTGACCAATTATTTTTCAAAATCACCAACAGAGTTCTCAGAAATTCAAATCTGACTTAACATTGAACAAATAATATTGTGCGCAACTGGGTGGTGACATTTTGTCATGTTAATGCCTTGTTAAACCTGTAGTACTAGTAGTATTATATGAATATAAAACATATTTTCTCTGACTATGAAGGCCAGTCAGTAACAGGAAAAGTTTAGATTTTGACTCGGGTATTGCCGTCAGTTCCCTAAATGGCAGCCTGGAAAGATCGCTGTGAGAATATTTTATCATCAATATTTAACACACATACGTTGATTTACCTAAGGAAACATATTCAGCAGATTGATAAATGCATGAAGAAATTATCGAGATATGATATAGAGGTTATTTACTGGGAGAGATTCAATATGGATTTTATTCCGAGGGACAATATGATATTTCGTGAGGGCCCGGAGGGCCAGAGGAAAATATCATATTGTCATGAGGAATAAACCCATATTGAATTCCGACCAGTAAATAAGTTTTTTATCCCATGATATTCATAACTCTCTTCATAAATCATTTGTTCAATATCCATATCTGATTATCTGATAATCTCAATATAAAAAATTAACAATAAGAAATACAAGTTCACCAGGACATTCGCATAATACAATTTTTGTCCCGGTGTTATTCACCAGAAAGTAGTAGTAATCCAGTTTTAAAGAGGAAACTCATTAAGTACTCTATTATTGCCCATTATATTAATCTTTCAGAAAACCCAGGGGATTTTGTTATTTGAGACATCTCCTCCGGGAGAATTAGGAAAACACACTGTGCATTTATTGGAATGAATACAGTATGCTTAAATCAAAAGTTAGAATTCATGAAAAAACGATCAGACCTTTATTTTTTGTATGTAATTTTGCTCAACTACATCCAGAAGCTTATGGATAGAAACACAGTATTAAGTTATCAAAAAGACAATTAAATGCTTTGTATGGTGACTTCAAAGTTATGAAGAGATCCTTGGGTTTGCGAGCTGTCACTGAAGAATCCCCCATAGTTTTGTAGATTTAACAAATATCAATTGTTCCCTCCATTGAAGTGATGGATCCCCTATGTATGACCACATGTAGTCAAATACATCGAACATCTCAACATCAACAATCTGGAACATTACCGTACTGTACCATTTTGGCTACGGTACTGTATTGTACTGTAAAAATGGTTTCAGACTAAAACCCAACACTGTACAGCACCATACTTGAACAGTACTTTACTCTAAATGTACTATTTATTAGCATGAGATTTATAATTTCAAGATGTGAAATAAATGTATGAGGCAATTTGAATATTTTTATTCACAAAATCTGTCTTAGTTTTGTATATAACCAATGTACATGTATACCCTAGTCATTATGATTTGACGTTTGCAAACAACTACATTACATGTAGTCAGGTGTGTGTTTTGATTTAAGATAAAATTGCATTTTCATAGGTCTGTGTACATTATATGTGGAACTGAATGTTCATAGGTGTACATTATATGTGAAACTAAATGTTCATAGGTGTACATTATATGTGGAACTGAATGTTCATAGGTGAACATTATATGTGGAACTGAATGTTCATAGGTGTACTTTATATGTGGAACTGAATATTCATAGATGTACATTATATGTGGAACTGAATGTTCATAGGTGTACATTATATGTGAAACTGAATGTTCATAGGTGTACATTATATGTGGAACTGAATATTCATGGATGTACATTATATGTGGAACTGAATGTTCATAGGACGGTGTACATTATATGTGAAACTGAATGTTCATAGGTGTACATGATATGTGAAACTAAATGTTCATAGGTGTACATTATATGTGGAACTGAATGTTCATAGGTGTACATTATATGTGAAACTAAATGTTCATAGGTGTACATTATATGTGGAACTGAATGTTCATAGGTGTACATTATATGTGGAACTGAATGTTCATAGGTGTACATTATATGTGGAACTGAATGTTCATAGGTGTACATTATATGTGGAACTGAATGTTCATAGGTGTACATTATATGTGAAACTAAATGTTCATAGGTGTACATTATATGTGGAACTGGATGATGAAATCTTAGCTTCCTATACAGCTACTGTAGTTATTAAAATATTTTACACAATAAGACATAGCAACCTAAATCAGGGTTCTATCTGTCAATAGAAATATCACAAGATTACTCCCAAAATTGCTTAAATTGCACTGGCTCATCCAGGATGGGGGTGGGGGGTCTAAAATTTGAGCAAATTTGAGCAAAAGGACCTTGAGTTGTTTGTAGAATGAATTGGTTGAGTTTTTTCATGCATTTTGCTTGTGTTTTTCTCTAAAAAGCATCAATACACTTTAAAACATATTATTGAGTATAAGATTGCACCATATAATCCAAAAAGATATTTCTAATTTTCAAGGATTATCTATGGATTTACACCCAGGCATTTTTATTTTTCAAAATTGTTTTGTTTATGTAAAACAGCATTTATATTATTCAAAAATGTTTGTAATAATCATTCGCCATCCTTCTGAAGTTTGAAAAATAAAAATACCTGGGTGTTAATCCATAGATAATCCTTTAAAATGAGAAATATTTTTGGGGATTATATGGTGCAATCTTATGGTCAATAAAATGTTCTAAAGTGTATTGATGTTTTTTAAAAATATTAAAAAATTATTGGAACCACCTCCTATCAAATCCGATGCACTGTATACATACAACCATGCAGGCTGCATTCAACAATCAATGTGGTTTATACACTTATAGTCTTTATACATTGTTATACTAAATTATGAGATTTGGTGAGATTTTAAAAGTAGCAGTTTTTGACTCATCATGAAATTGTCAACTTATCTGTCTGTACTTCCTTCTATCTGTCTACTGTGTGAACTAAGTCTCATTTTTATTTCATGTCCTATTTTTGCATTTTTTGAGAAATCAGCTTTTGGTCATCAAATACATGTATTACATCTATATTAATTTCCAATCATATAATAATGTAACTTCAACACATAGTCAGAAGTACATGTATCCCTGTCAGTTGCTATACTTGAAACATATGGTCAGAAGTACATGTAACCCTGTCAGTTGCAAATTGCAATATATAGTCAGAAGTACATGTATCCCTGTCAGTTGCAACTTGCAACATATAGTCAGAAGTACATGTCACTCTGTCAGTTACAACTTACATTATATGATCAGAAGTACATGTCAACCTGTCAGTTGCAACTTGCAATATATGATCAGAAGTACATGTAACCTTGTCAGTTACAAATTGCAACATATAGTCAGAAGTTCATATTACCCTGTCAGTTGAACATACATGTTCTTGCATATTATAATTATGTACTCTCCAATATATTATGGAGGCAATAAAGATACATAAACATAAACTTGCAATTCATAGTCAGAAGAACATGTAACCCTGTCAGTTGCAAATTGTAATATATAGTCAGAAGTACATGTAACCCTGTCAGTTGCAACTTGCAATATATGATCAGAAGTACATGTAACCCTGTCAGTTAAAACTTACATTATATAGTCAGAAGTACATGTAACCTTGTCAGTTGCAACTTGCAATATATGATCAGAAGTACATGTAACCCTGTCAGTTGCAACTTACATTATATAGTCAGAAGTACATGTAACTCTGTCAGTTACAACTTACATTATATGATCAGAAGTACATGTTACCCTGTCAGTTGCAACTTGCAATATATGATCAGAAGTACATGTAACCCTGTCAGTTGCAACTTACATTATATAGTCAGAAGTACATGTAACTCTGTCAGTTACAACTTACATTATATGATCAGAAGTACATGTTACCCTGTCAGTTGCAACTTGCAATATATAGTCAGAAGTACATGTTACCCTGTCAGTTGCAACTTGCAATATATGATCAGAAGTACACGTAACCTTGTCAGTTGCAACTTGCAATATATGATCAGAAGTACATGTAACCTTGTCAGTTGCAACTTGCAATATATGATCAGAAGTACATGTAACCTTGTCAGTTACAAATTGCAACATGTAGTCAGAAGTACATGTAACTCTGTCAGTTGCAACTTGCAATATATGATCAGAAGTACATGTAACCTTGTCAGTTACAAATTGCAACATGTAGTCAGAAGTACATGTAACCCTGTCAGTTGCAAATTGCAATATATAGTCAGAAGTACATGTAACCCTGTCAGTTGCAACTTACATTATATAGTCTGAAGTACATGTAACCTTGTCAGTTACAAATTGCAACATGTAGTCTGAAGTACATGTAACCTTGTCAGTTACAAATTGCAACATGTAGTCTGAAGTACATGTAACCTTGTCAGTTACAAATTGCAACATATAGTCAGAAGTACATGTCACTCTGTCAGTTCTAACTTGCAATAATATATGATCAGAAGTACATGTAACTCTGTCAGTTGCAACTTGCAATATATAGTCAGAAGTACATGTCACCCTGCCAGTTGCTACTTGCAACATATATTAAGAAGTACATGTAACCCTGTCAGTTGCAACTCGCAACATATATTCAGAAGTACATGTAACCCTGTCAGTTGCAACTTGCAATATATAGTCAGAAGTACATGTAACCCTGTCAGTTGCAACTTGCAATTTATAGTCAGAAGTACATGTAACCTTGTCAGTTACAAATTGCAACATATAGTCAGAAGTACATGTAACCCTGTCAGTTGCAGCTTGCAATATATATTCAGAAGTACATGTAACCCTGTCAGTTGCAAGTTGCAATATATAGTCAGAAGTACATGTAACCCTGTCAGTTGCAACTTGCAATATATGATCAGAAGTACATGTAACCCTGTCAGTTGCAACTTGCAATATATGATCAGAAGTACATGTAACCCTGTCAGTTGCAACTTGCAATATATGATCAGAAGTACATGTAACCCTGTCAGTAGCAAGTTGCAACATATGATCAGAAGTACATGTAACTCTGTCAGTTACAACTTACATTATATGATCAGAAGTACATGTTACCCTGTCAGTTGCAACTTGCAATATATGATCAGAAGTACATGTTACCCTGTCAGTTGCAACTTGCAATTCATAGTCAAAAGTACATGTAACCCTGTCAGTTGCAACTTACATTATATAGTCTGAAGTACATGTAACCTTGTCAGTTACAAATTGCAACATGTAGTCTGAAGTACATGTAACCTTGTCAGTTGCAACTTGCAATATATGATCAGAAGTACATGTTACCCTGTCAGTTGCAAGTTGCAATATATAGTCAGAAGTACATGTAACCCTGTCAGTTGCAAGTTGCAATATATAGTCAGAAGTACATGTCACCCTGCCAGTTGCTACTTGCAATATATGATCAGAAGTACATGTAACCCTGTCAGTTGCAAGTTGCAACATATGATCAGAAGTACATGTAACTCTGTCAGTTACAACTTACATTATATGATCAGAAGTACATGTTACCCTGTCAGTTGCAACTTGCAATATATGATCAGAAGTACATGTTACCCTGTCAGTTGCAACTTGCAATTCATAGTCAAAAGTACATGTAACCCTGTCAGTTGCAACTTACATTATATAGTCTGAAGTACATGTAACCTTGTCAGTTGCAATTTGCAACATATGATCAGAAGTACATGTAACCCTGTCAGTTGCAACTTGCAATATATGATCAGAAGTACATGTTACCCTGTCAGTTGCAACTTGCAATATATGATCAGAAGTACATGTTACCCTGTCAGTTGCAACTTGCAATATATGATCAGAAGTACATGTTACCCTGTCAGTTGCAACTTGCAATATATGATCAGAAGTACATGTTACCCTGTCAGTTGCAACTTACATTATATGATCAGAAGTACATGTAACCTTGTCAGTTGCAACTTGCAATATATGATCAGAAGTACATGTTACCCTGTCAGTTGCAACTTGCAATATATGATCAGAAGTACATGTTACCCTGTCAGTTGCAACTTGCAATATATGATCAGAAGTGCATGTAACCCTGTCAGTTGCAACTTGCAATATATAGTCAGAAGTACATGTAACCCTGTCAGTTGCAAGTTGCAACATATGATCAGAAGTACATGTCACTCTGTCAGTTACAACTTACATTATATAGTCAGAAGTACTTGTCACATGTGGTGACATGTCATGGTGTGTTAATATATTGGTGTTATTGATTCTTCAAATTCAAATGATATAATATCCAAACTTTGTCTCACTAAGATCCTATATTAGATTATATATTACCTAACATTTGCTCATCTTCTTTCAAAATTTTTACCATCCAAAACTTGTGTTCTTTGTTTGGTTACATATTATTTTTGTGGTCTAAGTGTTTTCAATCAATTTGCTGTAACATATAGCTCATTATCCTATGCCAAGTAGAGTTTTAGGGAGATTGTAAGTCGGTAATATATGTCCCTTATCCTAACTTTGAGGTTTCCACATCTAGAACCTCCATATCTTCCACCAAATTGAAAAAAAAATTTAGAAAAATTTGAAAGAACTACTGGGTATAGGATAAATCAGTTATGTAGGGTCGGTTTGGATATGGGGTTTATCCCTCCTGAGATATACACATCTATTTTTGGTCCCTACAGTCCCTCAGGTAGATATGCATATTTATCTTATACTTAGTAGTGTTATAGGTAGATAATTTGTGGGAATATGATTGTTATCTGAGGTGAACGGGAGATATATCACCCGCTCATCAACAATTCCCGGGGATTTCGTACGGTACTTTTTTCGTTCACCAGTACAGTACGTGTGTTACCGTGGCCCTATTGAATTGATATTTAGCTCACATGGTGAGCTTTTGCAATCACTCTCTTGTCCGTCAATCTGTCCGTGCGTGCGTACGTCCGTCTGTCCGTCAACAATAGTGGCACGTTTTAAAACCTCTGTCGATAGGATTCCTGTTTTAAGTTATTTCTGTTCAACATCAATACAGAAAACTCCCCTATGCATTTTCAAAATGGACGCCATTTCACGAAATTCTCGCGAAATTCATTTTGACCCATTTCCTAGTTTTACAAATAATTTCAGGTCCTACATTGAAAAAATCCATGTCGATGTAAAGAGTAGATATATGAAATAATTTTGTTACAAAAAATCAGCAAAAAATTATATCTATTTTTTATTTTCAGCCATTTTAGTTAACATTGATTTGTCCATCTGACTCGCGAAATCCACTTTTCAATCAACAACAGTGGCACGTTTTAAAAGGTCTGTCGATAGGATTCCTGTTTTCGCGAAATTCACTTTCGACCCATTTCCTAGTTTTACAAATTATTCCAGGTGTCCTGCATATTGCAAATACATGTCACTGTAAAGAGTAGTTGTATGAAATAATTTTTTAAGCCATTTTACTTAACATCGATTTGTCCATCTGTCTCTCAGTCAGTCCAAAATATTGTCAAGTGGCTTTTAAATTGTTACAAAAAATCAGCAGAAAAATATATCCTTTTTTTATTTTCTGTCATTTTAGCCATCATTCACTTTTGAGCAACACCATGCGAGCCCAGTACCCACGGTACTATTTTATTATGTCCCCACCACATAGTGTGGGGGGCCATATTGTCGGCCTTGGCGCGTCCGTCTGTCTGTCCGTCCGTACGTCCGTCCGTCCGTCCGTCCGTCTGTCCGTCCGTCTGTCCGTACGTCCGGGAGTTTTCTCCAAAACCGCTACAGATATCACCTTCAAATTTTCAGGGATAACTTATGAGTGCATACAGATGTGGATGAAAAAGTTTCAAGTTGATACCTACTTCCTGTCGGCCATTTTGAAGTCAAATGCTAAAATCCTTGTCTGCAAACTTTAAGAAAAACGGCTTCACAGTTGCTTTTAAAACTTTACCATCTTGTTTAGCTCACTTCATTCTAGATCTGATTAGGTTTTGGACCTGTTAGCTCAGTCATGTCAGCCATTTTGAATGTCTTAAGAAAAGTTAGCGCACGATAATACTTTGTATCATATTGCATGGTGTTTTTGAGTTTTCATACTTTAACTATTTAGTAGCTTTATAAATAATTTCAGATGTACTTTGTTGTAAAAGCCTATGTTATTGTTAACAGTAGTTATATGTGATAATTTTGTAAGAAGAAATCAGCAAAAACACATAATCACTTTTTTATTGTCCACCATTTTGGATTTTTCCGTCCTAAAATCTTGTCTGTGAAGTCTTGTCTACGTGTTTTCAGGTGAACCGTTTGGTGGATCAATTTCAAATTTTCAGGGATGATTCTTAGTATAAAAATCTAGATCTGATTTGTTTTTTGGCATTCTGGGTAAATGTCAAGGCAGCCATTTTGGATTTTCCGTCCTAAAATCTTGTCTGTAAAGTCTTGTCTACGCATTTTCAGGTGAACCCTTTGGTAGATCAATTTCAAATTTTCAGAGATGATTCTTAGTATGAAAATGTAGAACTGATTAATTTTTTGGCATTCTGGGCAAATGTCAAGGCAGCCATTTTGGATTTTCTGTCCTAAAATCTTGTCTGTAAAGTCTTGTCTATGCATTTTCAGGTGAACCGTTCTGTAGATCAATTTCAAATTTTTAGGGATGATTCTTAGTATGAAAATCTAGATCTGATTAGTTTTTTGGCATTCTGGATAAATGTCAAGGCAGTCATTTTGGATTTTCCGTCTTAAAATCTTGCCTGTAAAGTCTTGTCTACGCGTTTTTAGGTGAACCGTTTGGTAGATCAATTTCAAATTTTCAGGAATGATTCTTAGTGTGAAAATCTACATCTGATTAGTTTTTTGGCATTCTGTGTAAATGTCATGGCAGCCATTTTGGATTTTCTGTCCTAAAATCTTGTCTGTAAAGTCTTGTCTACGCGTTTTCAGGTGAACCATTTGGTAGATCAATGTCATATTTTCAGGGATGATTCTTAGTATGAAAATCTAGGAACAGATTAGTTTTTTGACATTCTGGGTAAATGTCAAGGCAGCCATTTTGGATTTTCCATCCTAAAATCTTGTCTGTAAAGTCTTGTTTACATGTTTTCTAGTTAACTGTGTGACGGATCAATTAAGAATTTTCAGGGGTGGTTCTTAGTTTGAAAATCTAGAACTGACTAAATTTTTGGCATTCTGGGTAAATTTTTAGGTGGCCATTTTGGATTTTCCGTCCTCAAATTGTGTTGGTAAAGTCTTGTCTACTCATTTTCAGGACAACCATTTCATGGGATCACCCATTGGTGGGGACATTTTGTACACATTTGTGTTCTTGTTTTATATGTTCCCAAATGTTAAAAACCATTTAATTTAAAAAAAACCAATAAATGCTAAGAAATTTAAATTGAGAAAAAATAATCATGTTTCTATTGTAATTATCATTATTGTAATTATTACACGATGGTTCAATAACACTTGATTCATACTTACAGTAATCTTCATAATCTACTAAGTATAGGGTAAATCAGTTATTGAATGCTCGATTTATGATACAGGATTTCATTCTGTGTTTCATTAACTAATATCCCTTCGGTCCCTCGGGTAGATACATTGTATTTCCCTCAGATATACCCTGTATCAAAAACCTCCCATTGAATAACCTCATATCTCTTGGGATAAAAGACATATCCAAAACCTCCCAGTATATAACCCTATATATATCTATCTAATTGCACCATCGTTAGTTCCTATTACTCTCTTTGTAAAAAGTGATAATACATCTCAAGATTCTTGATTTACCTAATAATTACTATTGCCTGATCACAACTTGTTTCACTGAGAGTGCATCCTCCGATCACAGTGCTTCAAAATCCAGAATATATTCTTTCTTTTTACCCCCTGCGATAAGCAGTTAGCATTTCCCCGATTAAGAACTCGCAATCTGATTGGCTGTCGCAACACTGCGACAGAAATCATGTATAAGTCATTGCGCATAATTAGATCATGTGATTCACTTTAATCTGGCGCTTCCAAATTGGTTATAGCAGGGGGAAGAAGGAGGTACGGATTCTGGATACCTGCTTAGGAGGATGCTGGGAGTGTATCTGTGTATAATTTGGAAATTTAGTTAATTTGTAAGAGGGGATAATCTAAATCATTGCCTAATTATATGATATATATAAGGTAGGGGTATAACGAAATATGGACAAATCACGTTTCTTTTGGCATTGTCTTTTATGTATTTTGACCATTATATCAAAATATTTGATGTTAAGTTATTAAAAAAAAAAGTTATTATAACCCAAGTAGTCTAATCTGCCTGTATCAGCATAAATTAGTGAAATGTGGAAAAAAGGTTGAAGAAAAAACAATAATCAGGTCTCTCATGAAGCATTTTCAGACATACTTCTCGACTTTGATATTTAATTAAAAATTAAAAAGGAGGCCCCTTTATCGTATGCGATCGCTGGAAATTATTCCTATATCCCTGGGAGCAACTACATGAACAATTAGGCATTAGAAACGCTTACTTCAAAAGTTACCGAAAAAATCAGACCCCCTTTAGGAACTCTAGGGTATCCCACAGAAATTCATAATGGCCACCATTTTACTGTTGAAATATCACTTTTTGTCCCTTTATACCAGTGTTATAAATTCATAGTTAATGAAAACGGATTAGAATCCTGTGCTAAATAGGGCTGATGTTGAAAATTCAGTCCAATCTAGTCGGGACTGTTCTACGAAAATAACTTTATTAGTTTTACAAATATTTTCCAACAAGGATGCTCATTTACATGAAACTACCTCATATTTGCTTTTACAGCTCATATAGCTACATGTTCATGTTATGTGAAAGATGTAAAAATGATGTTTCTATATTTATTTACATCTTATATACAGGGTGGTCCAAAAATG